AAAAAAAAAAAAAAAAAAAAAAATGAAAACTCATGTTTTCCACCCCTAAATTTAAACTATAATTGTCCTCAATTTCTTTAATCATAATCCGCATATAAAGGGGTAAGGAAGAATGTGAAGAAAAGATTCCCCTGATATGACTTGTAATTTAGTGGCTAGCTTTCCTATTACTCCCATTGGCTCCTTTGTCAATATTGGTTTAAATGTTTTACGACGTTATGTTCCTGAAAAATTAAATAAAATATTAAGATTAAATAATTGGAACAAGTTACTTAGTTTTAACATCTAATAAACCAAACTAACATATTGAAGATATGAAAGGAAACGGGGTATGGATAATGAGTCACAAATAAACTTAAAATAAACTAAACTACTCTAAAATTCAAAAATAAAATAAATAAAAAGGAAAAAAGTTTGGGTTGCCTCCCAAGACGTGCTTCTTTAACGTTATTAGCTTGACATTGTGTCGCGATTATTTCGAAACAACTAATTCAATGCTTTCTTTAGTAGTGAGAAAATCATTTATGTAGTGTTTGATGCATTGTCCATTAACATTGAAATTTCCCTTAGTTGGGTGGTGTAATTCTACTGTACCGTAGGGAAAAACTTGGGATACTGTGAAAGGTCCAGCCCATCNTCAATTTTCCTGGGAACAGCTTAAGTCTGGAGTAGTACAAGAGCACTTGATCCCCCACTCTGAAAATGCGTTGTCGAATATTCTTGTCATGCCACCATTTCTTCCTTTCTTTGTACATGGATGCATTTTCATAAACTTCTCTTCTGAATTCTTCCAATTCGTAAAGCTGTAATATTCTTGTTTCTCCAACCTTTTCTAAGTCCATGTTCAACTGTTTCAATGCTAAGCATGCTCTGTGCTCAAACTTAAGCATGCTCTGTGTTTGAGGAAATGGAATTGGTGGCACATAAGCTTTTATGAGACTTGGTGCTCTTACTATAGAATTTTCTTTTCTCTCGTCATCCTCTTTTTCAATTGGTACAGCTTTTTTCTCATCATGAGCCTCTTCAACTTCTATCTCTTTGTCTTTTCTGTCTGGCGTCTTTACATATATCTCTAGCAATTTTACTCCACTTTTAGTTGTAATTGCTTGTACTTACTCCTTAGCGTTTATTATTATATTACAGGAAATGTCCCTTGTGGGTGTTATGTAAGCTATTGATCTATCTAACCAATTTGTATCTCCAACTTATTGATCGAAGCCTGCTGATTCTGAAAATTTGTGTCAATTTATTGGAACACCTTGTCTATTTTCTGCATATATTGATTGAACATCTTTCCCAAACTTGGTTGTTTTTCCTGTTGGACATTAATTGAACTATTCCCTTGTTGATTATCTGACCATCTGAAGTTTGGGTGCTGTCTCCATCTTGGGTTATATATTTGTGAATATAGGTTAAAATTGCGGGACCCATTTTGAATGAAGTTGACTTGTTCATTAGGAAAGCCTATAGACATACAATTTTTTGTCAAATGGTTAGCTCCACAGTTTTCACGTGATGGACCACCCATCACCGTATATGCTCCTCTCATTTGTGATTTCACCAATAGTTCTACCTGCTTTGTTAAAGCTGCTACTTATACTTTCGTAGATGCTG